GCAATTGTTGTGGAAGCCAAAACTAACGACTCATACTTTCGAGGGAACAATACCCCTACGAAGGTTGAGGAATTCTCTTGGCAACTTGAAGACACTTCCTTCTGATTCTTGGCGGGCCATTCTGGCTCTCAGTAGGAGGACGAGGATTTTTGGGGAAAGGGCAGGGTTCTGTTGAAAGCAATTGATCGGTCATGGAAAATGTTTGTAAGTTTTTTGCATTTCCCGAGGAACCTGCTTGGGAACACGGTGGCTGTCTTTGGGAATTTGAGGACGCCTTTTTGGAAGATTGACCACATTGTTCTAAGCCACCTAGGGGCACCCGCCGCGAGCTTTTTGGAAAATATCGAATGGCCTTTTGCCTATCCCGCCACCGTGCCTGGGCTGTGGTTCAGACGCCCTGTGGAACAGATGCGGGTCTCTTGGGGTGCCTTTCGAGTGAGTCTTTCAGGATTTTTGGCGGCTTCGGGGGGGGCCTCTTGGGGCATTTTGGGTGGGTCTCCGGAGCCTCTGGGGGGCTTTGGGGGCCATCTTGGGGCGGAAGATTCTAGTTATCCGTTTGCGCTCCCTTCTTGAGCCTCGCTTGGGGCTCTCTTGGGTGGGGGTACCTCTTGGCCGTTTTTGGGGCCTCTCAGGGTCTCTTGGGGCCCTCCTGGGGTTTCTTGGGCAGTCCTGGGGCGCCATCGGATGCTTTTTGAGCCGTCTTGGACCGTTGAAAATAGACAAAAAACGAGAAGGCGACATCCTTCAAAATCTAAAGAACATCCAGGCTTTGACCTGTTCAGGCCCTCTTGGGGGTCCTCTTGGGGCGCTGCTGGGGCTTCTTGGGACGTCTTGGGGCCATCTTGGGCGTCTGGGGGCGACCTTGGTGCTGTCGAGGGCCGCCTTAAATTGTTTTGGGGGGGGGGCCTTTGGGGCCATCTACGGTACATCGGCGACATGTTGCACCACCTGGTGCCCAAGACAACGGTCACCGTTTGAACATACTTACGCAAGCCGAAAGATTTTCCTCTTGAGCCCCACATGTCGGAAGCGACGCGCCGTTCAGGTGAGCGGATGCATGTAGCGCTCGCTTCAAGGTGGGGTAGATATGTTATGGGTGGAGATGCGGGAGTTGGCCGGGCCCGCTGTGGCGTTCGAGCAAACTTATGTTATGGGAGGACTTTCGGGAGATGGCCAGGCCCGCGGTGGCGCTCGAGCAACCACATGTTATGGGAGAAGTGACGGGAGGTGGCCGGGCCCGCTGTGGCGCTCGAGCTTCCGACTTGGACATTTTGCTTATGTGTCCTCGCCCTCCCTCATCCCTTCCTCTCCTCCTCCTCCTCCCACCTCCCCCCTCCTCCTCCCGCCTCCTCCCTCCTCCTCCTTCCTCCTTCGTCCGTCCGCCTCCCTCCTCTCTCCTTCTTCTCCTCCTCCTTCTCCTCCTCCTTCTCCTCTTCCCTCTTCCTCCCCCCCTCTCTTCCCTGATTATTCCTCCTCTCTCTCCCCCTGCGTCCCCTCTGTTCTCCTCCCACCTCCTCTTGCCTCTTCCCTCATACTTCCCCTCTTCTTCCTGGGAAGACCCCCCTCCCCCTATAGATATATTCCCGGGAAATAAAAGGATCCATCGTTTTTTTTGTCACACAAAGGAAATTGGATCCGCGCAACACAGAAATAGGATCCGCGAAACTCTCCCACACCCGAAAAGGGATCCAATTGGATCCATTGATGTTCCCATATGTTTAGTCCAAGAGGAAAAAACTTTCGGCCTGGGGATGTAGTCTCTTACGTTTGAGCGTCCCCACCCCCACCCCCATCTAATATTGGCTGTGGTCCAGGGTCGCCGAAGCAGGTCGGCGGCGCAACATTATGTCGATCGCCTGGGGAATTTCAGAACAGTTCCTTCTCGCATGCCCCCAATATTAGATGGGGTGGGGGGGGAGGCGGGGTGTTGAAGTACACATTTCAGAGCTCGCATAAAATGATGCAACATTTTGACGACGTACGGCATGCCAATTTGGGGGGACCTGAGCGGCGTTGTCGTCCCAGCGGCCCACGCGGAAAATAAGAAGCGTTTGGGAAGCCGGGGGTCTGGGCCTCTCAGGTTTGCATGAGTTTGGGGGGCACTTCGCTTCGTGCTGAACGCACGGTGGCGGGGCGGATATGAAAAAGCGGTTTCGGACATTTGAAATGCTGTTTCGGGATTTTTTAATAGTTCGAACGCACGCTTGGCGAATGTCCCTTGAGTTTCTTGGGAACGAGTACAGAAGGTGGAGGAAGTCGTTTGGGAGGTAAAGGAAACCCTTAAGCATTGTGAAAGCAATTCCCTTAGTTTCGCATCGGGGGTCATTTGGTTTCGAATGTTTCCCTGAAGGCCACATATTGCTTGGGGAGCCTTGGGAACCCCTGGAGGAGCCGAAGGGGTTCGATCAGAAACTTGTGACTTCCTTCCGACGACCACTGAAGAACTCCCATCGGAATCATGATTGGAAACCTCTTGTTTTTCGATCGGAGTCGGATAAGTTCGCCAAGAAGCGTGACTGAATCCTGTAGGAACGTGAAGCCCCTTGCAAATATTATGAATTATCACCGAAGCGTTGGGAACTGAATCGGATAATCCCATCCTCCCACCTCCCACATGATCAAGTGATGTTATATTCGGTCCGACTGGCCCCGTCGTGCATATGCTGATGTACGCACGCATACGTATCCATCTGTTCCTATTTACATATTTTTATAAGGCCGGAGAGCCCTCACCCCAGCGCACCCCTCCCCCCCTAACGAATTTCGCCTCCTCGGGCCTGTCTTGCGCCTTGCTGTTGCCATCCTGGGGTCGTCTTGACGCCCCCCGAGTCAAGCGGAGAGTACAAGCGAGAAAAGAAAACATTGTTTTTGTTACTGCGTTTTCTCTGCTTTTCCCACTGCGGGCCTCGTTGCGCCAGCCTTGGGCCTCTTTGGGGCTCGTCTGGGGCCTCATCTGGAGGCGTCTTGGAGGCGACAAGGCGAGAAGACCAAAAACCTTGCTTTTCCCATGAGTTTCTCAGTGTCCATCTCTGGGCCCCCCTTTCTGGGCCCTATAGGGCCGGGGAGCGCCCCCCCACCACCCCACCCTCCCCCAAAAGACTTTCGAATCCTCGGGCTTGTCTTGCGCCTCCCTGTGGCCGTCCTGGGGTCGTCTGGACGCCCCCCGAGTCAATCGGAAGTGAAACAGCGAGAAGGCCGAAAACATTGCTTTTCTACTGCGTTTTCTTTGCTTTTCCCATTCTCCGGGCCCTGTTGCGCCAGCCTTGGACCTCTTTGGGGCTCGTCAGGGGACTCAGTTGGAGACGCCTTGGAGCTGTCTCGACGCCTCAAGAGCCAATCGGAAGCGACAAGGCGAGAAAACCAAAAACATTGCTTTTCCAATGATTTTCCTACATTTGCCCATTCTCGGGCCTGGGCCGAGTTGCGCCATCTCTGGGCCTTGTTGCGCCAGCCTTGGGCCTTTTTTGGGCTAGCCTGGGGACGCATTTGGAGATGTCTTGGAGCTGTCTGGACGCCTCAAGAGCTAATCGGAAGCGACAAGGTGAGAAGACCAAAAACCTTGCTTTTCCAATGATTTTCCTGAGTTTGTCCGTGCTTGGGCCCCACTCTCCGGGCCCAGTTGCGCCATCCTTGGGTCTCTGTGGGGCTCGTCTGTGGACTCAAATGGAGCCATCTTGGAGGCATCTAGAAGCCTCAAGATAAAATTGGAAGCTACAACAGGAAGCGAAAACACGGCTGAAAACATTATTGATCCGATGAGTTTAGTCTGATTTCCGACACTCCTGGCCCAGCTGGGCCAGGCGTCGGCCTCTTGCGGCCTCGAATTGTTTTGAACTGATTTCGAATCTCCGAACCCTCAAGAGCCAGCCTGTGGCCTCTGTGACGTTCCCACAGTTATCAGTGCAGTTTGGCTTTCTCAGGGAGGTCTTCCGCCTCTGGAGGACTCTTCTTGAAGTTCCCGATGTCGTCACTTCGTGGGACTCTCTCGGACACTAACAAGTGGAAGACGAGCAGTAAAAAGTAAAGGAAAAAAAAGGGAGAGGAGAAGGAAGCGGAGTGCGGAAAAGGAGGGAAGAGCAGAAAGAGGATGAAGATGAAGAGGAGAAAGAGGGGGGAGGAAAATGCGGAGGAAGAGCAAGAGGAGGAGGATGCCGTGCTTCATGCTACCCCAACCAGTCGCCCGAGACTTACTCGCGCCTCTGGGCACAGAAACGCCCTGAGCTGGCCAGAGCTGGCGTTGTCAAGTCGCTCCCGTTCAGGAGATCCTGACCCACTCCGACTTGGCGGTGGCCGGCCCCACGTCCACGCGCGCGCACGCCGCCTGCATTCGAACACAAGGAACAAGGTGCATAGCGCGAAGCGCCACTGCAGTCTTGTATATATATGTGTAATTCTACAGATATATGTATGTCGTCTTCACCAGAATTCAACAGAGATGGCGCGTCGAACTCGAAACTTGCTCTGCAGCGCATGACACAATGATGACCAGCAACCCTACCAGTACCGTTGGCGTCCCCGCATCTCCGCTCCTACTACTCCTGTTGCAACTTGTTGGGCGACCACTGCTACTATACTACTCGTGCCATTTATGCCACTACTCGTTGTTACTCCCACGACTACGGTTGACATAGATTGTGCTACGGCTTGCACAATGCAAGCGCACATCTAGCAATGCCACATCGTTTGTACCGCATGGGCTGCATCACAGTTGTTGCAAATCGATATCGCAAGAAACCACTTCTCGGGGGCTCACGCCGGCAACCACGTGTGTAGATGTGTTTGTATATATATATATAATAAATATACATAAACATATATATATACACGTATACACACACCCATTGTACATCCATATGCACACGTATACACAAGCCGCACCTGCTTACAACGCGAGGGGGGCATGGAAAATTGCATAGGCCGAAAGCGCTAAACAAACTCAGCCCTCGACGCGTCCAGCACAGCGAAGGTCGCCAGCAGAGGAGACGCGCCCCCGCCTCCAGGAGCTGCGACGGCCCGCGGCCCTGGCGCCCGCCCCGCCCGCGACGGCGGCGGCCTCGGCGCCGCCGGCGCCGAGAGCGGAGGAGGTGGTCGGGGCTCAAGAGACGGGGGTCAATGCCAACGGGGGTCAATGCAAACGGGGGTCAGCTAGAGGAGGGGGTCCATGCAAACGGGGGTCAACGCAAACGGAGGAGGTGGTCGGGGTTCAAGAGACGGGGGTCAATGCCAACGGGGGTCAGCCAGAGCGCCCGATCTTGCAGGATCCTGCAGGGCCAGGGTCGCGTTGACCCGAGTCTGGGCGCAGGATCTTGCAGGATCTTTCGCATTGACCCGGGCTTGGGTGCAGGATCTTGCAAGGTTCTGCAAGGCCTGAGTGACCCGGGTCTGGATTGACCCTGGTCAGAAGATCCCCGAGGTGGCACCGGCCCAGGCTCAAGTCGGGCGTGTCCCTCCTTGTACAGGATGCATATTCGGAAATCGCTCCAACAAGAAATTCATTATGTTTGACTATTTTTCATTCTTCGCCCCCCAAATCCGCCTACAGGGGGACATGGCCGACCCAAGCCCAGGCCCAGGCCCAGGCTCCGCTTACCGCTGCGCCCGGCTCCGCGCCTGCCCCGCTGCTGCCCCAGGAGCCGGGGCAGCGCCCACTGCACGCCAGCACGGGCCCTGGCCAGGCCCACCTTGGGGGCCCAGGAGCGGCGCAGAAACGCCAGGCCTGGGCGGGCTGGGCAGGGGGAGCCACGTCGTTCGAAGCTGACGGCCGCCAGCAGTGGTCGCACAAGGTGGAACGGCCCACGCGGTGGCAGAAGGCGGCGCCGACTTCGTGGCGACTTGGAATTGCGGTGGGTGGGGAGGCCACAAAGGTACCCATACCGCTACTCCAGGGACCTCTCCCGGGGCGCGTTCTGACCAGGATTCCGAGGCGAATCCAGCGGTGGCGACGAGGGCCTCCCAGGAGGCCCAAAAGAGGGAAAAACGAGCGAAGGATAGCGGTATGAGTACCTCTTCCTCTTCTGAGTGGGTGCGCGGTCGGCACCCTGCTGCAGGAGGGGCGCCCAGCCGCCACGGGCGCCCCAGGGGAGGAGGCCGGCAGCGGCAGCGGCGGCGGCGCGCGCGTGCGACCGCGGACCACGGCGCTTGCGGAGCCGAAGGTCGGCGGCGCGGCGATGGGGGGTCGGCCACGCGCAGAGGGGGGTGTGGGAGGAGGGGGGAGGCTTCCTAGAAGCACCCGTGCTTCTTAGAAGGCGCGGGACTTCTCTGTAGATGTAAGGCCCGCGCCTTCTAAGAAGCAGCCTCCTTCTGAGAAGCCTCCCCCCCTCCCCCTACCCCCCCTCTGCGCGCCGCCAGGTGGGGGGTGGAGGAGGAGGGGGGGCGTGTCTGGAGGTTCTCGAAGCCGCGGCTGGACGCGGCTCAGAAAAGTGGGCAGGGTGGACACCAGGGAGAGGTCTGTGGACAGGCTCTGAGCGGGTGTTCGTGTGGGGCAGGGCGAGGGGCTAGCTCCCCAAGAAGGCAAGGGGGCTTCTAAGAAGCCCCTGCGGCCAGACCGAGGCATATAAGATCGAGGTCGGTGCGGGGAGGGCACCCTCGAGTGATCTTATGGCTTGGGGTGGTTTGGCCGGTGGGAGGGTCTCATGTTCTTGAAGGGTGCTTTTCTGTCCTACAAGGCTGGTCAAGCATAAATTGACGTTTTTTTTGTTTTCGGCGCTTGCGTGGTGGGCGCTACTTCAATGCTGGCATGAGGTATTCGGCCCAGACGTAGTGGTGTCCGAAACCCAGCAGTACCCTCACAGCATTGAAGAACGCGTTTTCTGACAAATGCCCGAACCATCGAGCGCTTCGATTTTGAACAGCGTTTCAGTGTATTTTTGGCCAGGCTTGTAGGTCCGACTGTATGACCCAATCTGTGCCTCGAGGGCGGAAGCATTGGATCCAGTGCTTGCGCGCTGGTCGTCCAGCGCGGCCCCGCGGTCATCGGAGATCGGTCAAATAATTTGCCGAGCCACAGCCAGTTCGCAGCCCCGTGTCATTAGACAGAGTGGCCAGAGAAAGAACAGGAGGAGGAGGAGAGGAGGAGAGAAGAGAAGAGGAGAGGAGAGAAGAGGAGAGAGGAGAGGAGAGAAGAGAAGAGAAGAAGAGAGGACGAGGAGCTCTCCTGATAAACAAACGGTCAATGAGCAAGATCATATACATGATATGTTCTTCTTGAGCTTGAGTTTGTTTTCCACGTGCACTTGGCCAAGAGCGTCCTTGCCAACAGTTTTTCTTCACATATTCCTCCTCCTCCCCCACCCCCTCATCGCACGCACGCTCAGGAATGCCATCTGGCAGAAGAGCTTTGTCAGATGGCCTTCACCCATCCTTCTCCTCCTCCTCCTCCTCCTCCTCCTCCTTCTCCTCCTCGTCATCCTATTCCTCCTCGTCCTCCTATTATTCCTCCTCCTCCTCCTCCTCCTCCTCCTCCTTTTCCCTCTCCTCCCTCTGCTCCCTGTCCTCCGTCTCTTCCTCCTTCTCATCATCTTTGTCTTCCTCCTCCTCCATGTCTTTTCCTTATAAAGAATTTCTCCCTGTCGCACCCCGAGACCAGTTTTTAGGGTGGTCCGGGCGTCTCGACTGAGATTTCCTCACCACTCACGCCCCTGAAGCTCAAGATTGACATTAGTTCCACAGATGGAGGGCGGCTTGTTCTCAAAATGTGGTTTTCCATTTAGCGCCGCGCACATTTTTCAACTTCGCAAGAGTTTCACGAGTTAAGGGCGGGTCGTTTTCAAAATGTGGCTCTCGCTTTAACGCCGCGCGCATTCGTTGTAAAACATTGCAAGAGCTTCACGGGTTGAGGGCGGGTCGTTTTCAAAATGTGACTCTCGCTTTAGCGCCGCGCATATTCGTTTTAAACATTTGCAGGAGCTTCACGGATTGAGGGCGGGTCTTCTTCAAAATGTGGTTCTCGCTTTTGTGCCGCGCACATTCATTTCAAGCATTTGCAAGAGCCTCACGGATTGAGGGCGGGTCCTTTTTCAAAATGTGGCTCTCATTTTAGCGCCGCGCACATTCGTTTCAAAAATATGCAGGAGCTTCAAGGATTGAGGGCGGTTGCTTTTCGACATGCGGTTCTCGCTTTAGCGCCGCGTAACTTCTGTTTAAACAGTTTACCAAAGTTTCGCGGAATCCCATGATCAGCGTACCAGACCTGGTGTTTTGGAAGGTTTCATGAGTATGGGGCACGACAGTTACGTTGATTCGCGGTGCTGAAATCCCAAGAATGGCATTTTGGCACGACTCTGGATCGTCAAGGCGCAACAGTCAGGTTGATCCGTGGCGTTAGAATCCCGAGGACGATGTTTTGGCATGCGTCAGGGTCTTCAACGGTTGCCTTCGAACGAGGCAGTTCCCTCAGTGGAGATGAGCCCTTGGCCTATGAAGGTGGAGCTTGGAGGGAGGGTATATCCCAACATCGTGGATGACTCTTGGGTTCACACTGGTCATCCTCCTCCTCCTTCTCCTCCTCCTGCTCCTCCTCCTCCCTCTCCTCCGTCTCCTTCTTTTTCTCGTCCTCCTTCTCCTCTTCCTCCTCTTCCTCCTCCTCCTTGTCCTCGTCCTCCTCCTCCCCATCCATCCTCCTCCTCCTCCTCCTCCTCCTCCTCCTCCTCCTCCTCCCTCCTCCTCCTCCTCCTCCTCCTCCTCCACCTCCTCCTCCTCCCTCCTCCTCCTCCTCCTCCTCCTCCTCCTCCTCCTCCTCCTCCTCCTCCCTCCTCCTCCTCCTCCTCCTCCTCCTCCTCCTCCTCCTCCTCCTCCGCCTCCACCTCCTTCTCCTCCTCCTCCTCCCCCTCCTCCTCCTCCTCCTCATCCTGGTCCTCCTTCTCCTCCTAGCCGTTCTGGCACAGGGCGGTCCCTTTCCTCCCTTGTGTTTGGCGGCACCCACTTCAGAGCGGCACGAGGTGCCAACGGGCCAATTTGGCAAGATTTCCGCGCCATGGCCCCGTCCAGGCCGCCGATGTGGGGACTTGCCCCTGCGTGGGCATTCCACGGCTCAGGCGGTGCTTATGCGCAGCAGTGGCCGTCATGGGGCAGCATGCCGCCGCATCCTGGTGCTCAGCTCAGTGTTCCTGGCTATGGTGATAGTGGCGCTGCTGACGGTCGCTGGACATGCAACTTCCCTGACTGTCGGCGCAAGAAGAACGACATCCGCTCCTCCGCATGCGAGCATTGTAAGCGGCCCCGAGGTGCCCTGCCTGGTTCGCAAGCCCTTAGGGCTTGGAGGGGTTACCAGCGTCAGCCGGGATATCAACACCCAGTGGCCCCTGGCCCACTCCATCCAGCTGGGCCACCGCCACGGAAGTTCGACGACGACTCGGCCGACGAGCTCCAGCAGTTCATCGACATCGCTACGAAACACAACGACAAGGCTAACGTCAGCTTCTACACGACAGCCTTCGAGCGCGTCAAGACCCGAGATCGCACTGCGCCACCGAAGCCTGTTCAGCGACAAGCCACCGATGCTCACCAGGCGCTCACGATCACAGAGCGCAGGCTCGAGAAGGCGCTGGACGACCTGGATCAGGCGCGCACTTGGTTGGCTGAGAAGCGTTCAGACGTAAGGAGTTGGAAGAACAGGACCGCATCCACACCGACTTTGTGGGCCAGCTCCACTCTTCGGCGTGCAAGGCTCCGCCTGTTTCCACTCCCACAGCTACGCAGATCAACGTTCGCGATCTGCTGGGCGGGAAGCTATCAGAGATCCGCATCGTTGGTGGCGACGGGTTGCTCGGTGTTCCTTCGGAGGAGTACGACTTCTCCACGGAAGACATCCAGCTCTCGCAGTCCAAGCAGAAGGATATTTTTTCTGGCGTCCAGCAACTGGCGGCCACACTCTACACGGACCTGGTTTAAGACCCTCGACGACGCCAAGCGTGACTATCGAGAAGGTTTGGCCCGGCTGCCACATAAGAAACGGAAAGTTTAAGACGGCGTTGCACTTGGAGGCGACGGTGGCTCAGCCACCGCGGCCAGCTCAGGGACTGGGAGCGCCCTTTCGTCACAGGCTCCTGAAGCTGCCCAGCAGGCAGCAGGCGGTGAGTCTCTACGGGCGCGAGCCCAGCGAGCCGTCTCCGCCCCGCCTGAGGCGCCTCTGCAGTCACAGCCCCCTCCCCCCCCTCCCCTGGACGGGTAACAGCCTGCTCTCAGGGGGGACTTTCATCTAACTAAGTTGTCACAGCCAGCCAAGGGACCAAGTTTCTACAACTTGCCGCCCGACGATTGAAACACCCGAGCGTTTGATGGCGTTCTCAGAGCCCCCGCCCACCCAGGCCCAGAAGACTTTGTGTTACTGTTTGAAACCACGAACTGCTCCAGTTGGACGTCGGCGAAAACCTGCACCTAAATTTTTTCTGGGGATTGATGAAGTGTGCACCTGGTCTCGTCGACATGGCTAGCTGGCTCGAATTACCCCTGCCACCATCTCGCCCGAGGGGGACACGTCTGGTGAGACGGCGATGTCGGTTCGAGATCGGTTCGGCTGTTGCGACATCACTAATGGACCCGACTTCATCTTAGGTCGCGCTACCGCATGCTGGGTACAAGTACCAGGCGGTATCACTATATTTTGCTGATCCCTCTACCTCAAGGACACAGAAGGACCTCGGAGTTCAATCTAGGCATGCTAGCTAAGATCGGTTCTCTCTGCCATTCGCGCCCCCCCCCCCCCCCCCTACATTGCGGGAGGGGACTTTAACATGCCACCCCGAGAGCTCTCGGAGTGCGACTTCGCTGCTGGCCTCTCGGCGCATATTGTTTCCCCGCGAGACGCGATCACCTGCACCAGCACCGCGGCCGGGGGAGGATCGCTTCTCGACTATGTCGTTTGTAGCCCTGGTCTTGGGGCAGGGATTGCCGGTACATCGGCCGCGCTAACTGCTGACACTCGTCCGCACCGCCCCGTCCGAGTGAGGTTCCATCAGTCTCTCCCTGACCTCCAGGTGCTCACTTTTGCGCGACCCCCACCCGTTCCCGCCACCTTCCCCAGCGGCCCTTTCCCCCAGCCCGAAAGCTGGGAGGAAACCTTGAGTTGCGCTTAGCACGAGCTGGGTTTAGTTCAGTCTGGGGCCCCGAGGTCCTCGATCCAGCGCCACGTCAATACGTTGTGCAAGTTTTGGGCCGATGTTTCGGAGAGAGAACTTCAGGGGGTCTTTCAACGCCGGCCCCCTATCCGAGGCACCCGAGGCAAAGTGCCCAAGCTCGCCCGGCAGTCCGTCCTCGCGCAGGATCGCAGCCGCGAGCCGCGCCAGCCCACGCTGCATGCGCTCCGCTGGCTCGAGGGCAGTTTGAGGCTCTCGCTCGTTTATGCCAGCGCTGACCGCTGGAGCCAGGCCAGGGGCATCTCCGATCTTTTACACGCCCCTCCCAAGGATTTTCTCGACCACCTCCCCTTGTTTCAGGATCTGGCTCAGCGTGTCAAGGATCACGCGCACCCGACTGTAGATTGCCCCGCCCCCACTGGCAAGGACCGCCAGCGGCAGGAAGCGGGACAGGACATTCTCGATGCCTTGAGCGAGGCTCTCGGCATTTACTCGGCCACTGCCCGTGCCGAAGCTGCTGCCAGTTGGAAGGGGCGGTTGCGCGATGGGCTCGAGGGAGGGGGCAGGCGAGCCCACGCGCGGGCTCGCCACCCCTGCCGCGTGGACCCCCACTCACACCGTTTCCTCCAAGGGTAAAGTTCTGGCCGGTCCAAAAAGTTTTCCGCAAACGGAGTGCGCTCGTTTTTCGGGTTTGTGGCGGGCCCAGGACGCCCCCACCTCTGACCCCAAGGGGCGCGAGCAGCATGTGGACCCCCTTCCCTGGATCGACCCCTCCAGCATTCGACAGGCTTCGCGATCGCATAAATCGTCGTCGGCGGTGGGCGTCGACGGCTTTCACATGAGACATTCTAACGTTCTTAGTGGCCCCTCCCTGCACGTTCTGATGACTCTGCGGTCTGTCATGGAGAGTTCTGGTATCATTCCCTAGCAGATCCGAGTTTCGAGCGTTGCGTTGCTTGAAAAACCGACGCGGGTTTGGAGACCCATTGGAATTGTTGCGGCGTTTTACAGAATATGGGGGGCGCTTGAGAAGACCCAGTCAGGATTGGGGGGCCAGGGTTCACAGGCCCTGCCTCGCAGCACCAGCCTTCGCAGGTGCTGGTGACGTCGTCTGGCGTCAGGCGCTCCGCTCGGAGTCCGCTGTCTCCAATTCGCAGGTCACTTGCAGCCTTCTCTGGGACTTAGCCAAGTTCTTCGAGACCATATGCCTTACCAAGCTCAGAGATCGCTGCAAGCTCCTGGGCTTCCCAGCGCAGATCGCCACGGTCTGCCTGGATATGTACCGAGGGCCGTTGTTTTACCTTCGGAGCGACGGTGCAAGGCCCTGTCTATGCCCTAAGAGGAGTCCTTGCAGGATGCTCGGCTGCCACCAGTTTTGCGCGTGCCTACATTATTCCCTCCCTCGACCTCCTCTATTCCAGGGTTCAGAAGGGTTTAGATGTGAACATTGATGACTATGGTTGTTCGGTTCAGGCGCGCCCTCGTTCCATTGTCAGTCTGGCGGTCGAAGCTGCGACCGAGTTTCACCATGTCATCACTGAAGGTATGGATTGCACTAGCTCGCTCGACAAAGCTGCCCTTGTTTGTTCCTCTTCCTCTCACGGCGTTCGCATTGAGAAGCTGTTGGGGCCTCTGGCGGGCACGCCGACGGACTCTGCCGCGAAACTAGGAGTTGACAAGACTGCTGGGACGGGAAGAAGAGGAGGGAAAAAATTGGAAAAGTATGCTCACAGGCGACGAATATTTAAACAGCGGCCTGCTAGGTGCCAGCGGTGCAAGGCCATGCTGGGGCGACACACGTGTCGTATTTTTACGGCTGGCCCCTTCGCTGGTCTGGACCACGATGCCGATGCCCACGGGATTTCAGACTACGAACACGTCTCCTCTCGTCGTGCCCTTGTCTCTACCCTCGAACTCTCCTCTGGCCAGAGATCCCTCACTTCTCTCCTCATCCTCTATGGTGGCCCGACTTGGAGGGCTGCTGTCGCTCCCATTACCCGGTGCTCTAAAGAAGTTTGGGGTTCTCAGGTGAGGTTGTCTGACCGCGTTTTGTCGCTCGAGGTCCTGATCCGATCTTGGAAGAAGAAGAAGAAGAAGGAGAGACAAACTAATAATAACAAATGCTTGTGGCACCCTTCTCCCCACGTGGCGCCAAGTGAGGGCCCCCTTCCAAGCAATGCGACTTTCTCTCCATATGATCCGTTGGCGCATGCCTGCCTGGCACACCTGAATCAACGACTTTGGTGACCATATCCAGCCCGCCTCGCGTTCACCTGCGCTCGTTGCTGACCTTCTGTTCGAGGGAGTGATCAGGACGCGCCCAAGGGCGGTGGGAGACAAGTTGGGGATGAGGAGGATGTGCTTCGATGTCGTGGCCTCAGAGATGCGACGCTCTGCCCAATCTCCGATCGGTCGGGGATGTATGAGATTGTTCGCCTGCGACGGCACCTGGACTGAGGAGCGCGCCATCGAGCGCGGTCATCAGCTTCCAGACAATATTTGGTAACGTTGCCAAGCTGCTCCCGACAATTTAATGCGCGGGCTCTGGCATTGCCCGAGCGTCGACGAGCTCCGACGGGGGGGCTCGCGACGCTGACATTGTTTTGGGTGCCCGCTGCGCGGCAGAAACTGGTAAGGTTAGTGGAAAAGTGTTGTTTCCCACTGGTATTTTTCGTCACCCAGGGGGCTGGTTGCCGAGACCCTGCGAGCAGGGTCGTATCGTCCGTTTTTTTGTCTGGAGCCCCAGGTCCCATCCCTGGTGCCATCGATGTATGTGGAGATGTTTTCTGGGACGGTTCGTCCTTTAAGCATGTCATTAAGGAGCTCTCAAGGGCGGGCTGGGGGGGTGTCTCTGCGGGCCCTCAAGGGGAGGTCATCGCCTCTGTCTCGGGAGCTGTCGGAAGGCCTTTCCGCCAGACCTCTCAAGCGGGCGAGCGCAGCGCCTGTGCGGCTACTGCCCAATGCCTGAATGGGCCCACCACGGGCTACGCGGATTGCGTAGGGGTCGTAAGGGCCCATGTTTCTCCAAAGGTTGTGCGTTTTTCTCATAGGAAGAAGTATTATGGCAGTTCGGCTTTCTCTTCCAGTGCTCGCTGGGATGAGGTGCGCAAGGTCAAAGCGCGCGTGGTAGGCTCTGCTGACCTCTCTGCCTCAGGTCGTTTTTTATATTTATATAAAAAAGGCAACGATGCAGCTGACAGGGCTGCTGCGAAGTATGGAGTGTCATTACACCCGCAGGCGAGTGCGGATGAGATGGCACAGGTAGACAGAGTTGTCGTTGCTGCTCGTGCCGTTTGCCGAGTAGCCGTTGCGGTGCTCCCGAGTTGGCCGAAGCTCGATTTCAGCGATGTCGCGCGAACTTTTCCCATGCCTACTGCATCCTCCTCTGAGCCCTCCTTCGACCACCAATAGGAATGGTCTCGCGGCGTGTGGCGTTGCATGTGCTGTCTTCGTTTCCGTCACTCCTCTGAGCGACCACCCAGCAGTGGATGCCGCGGCGAGCCTCCGGTCGCCGCCCGCTTGCCTTGCAGTGTAGTGACCAGTCTCCGCTCTTCGCCTGTGTCATATGTCAAGTTTACACCTGGCTCGGGAGAGTAATTAGATTGAGCCGCCAGTGCGATCCGAAATGTACTAGCCGAAACGACCTCGATCGATGGCGGCTCATGATGCGTGGTCTCCACCCTAAGCTCAAAGGGATTAGCGTGGAGCCCATGCCCGAGGTGGATTAGTAATCACTATCCTTTTGTTTTTCCTTCAGTTCACCTGTTGAGCAGCGTCAAGTGGTATCCTCCTCCTCCTCCATCTCCTCCTCCTCCTCCTCCTCCTCGTCCTCCTCCTCCTCCTCCTCTTCCTCCTCCTCATCCTCCTCCTCGTCCTCCTCCTCCTCCTCCTCCCTCTCCTCCTCCTCAGCATCATCAACATCACCAGCAACATCATCATGATTATCATCACCATCGTCATCATCCTCCTTTTCCTCGTCCTCCTTCTCCTCCTCTTCCTCCTCCTGCTCCTCTTCCTCCCCAACCTCCTCCTCTCCTCCTCCTCCCCTCCTCCTCCTCCTCCTCCTCGTCCTCGTCCTCCTCCTCCTCCGCCTCCTCCTCCTCATCCTCTAATCCTTCTCCTCCCTCCTCCTCCTTCTCCTCCGTCTCCTCCGTCTCCTCCCCCTCCTCCTCCTCCTCCTCCTTCTCCTCCTCCTCCTCCTCCTCCTCCTCCTCCTCTTCCTCCTCGTTCTCCTCCTCCTCCTCGTCCTCGTCCTCCTCCTCTTCCTCCTCCTCCCTCCTCTTCCTCCTCTTCCTCCCCATCCTCGTCCTCCTCCTCCTTTTCCTCCTCCTCCTCCCCCTCCTCCTCCTCCTCCTCCCTCTCCTCCTCCCCCTCCTCATCCTCCTCCTCCCTCTCAGCCCTCCGTCGCCAGGGAGAAACGGCGCCGCCCACCGAAAGGGCGGGGTGGCACTTCAGAAACGAGGTCTAAAATCTCGGAAGAGCTGCTCCGCCAGGAGCCCACAATGATGATGAAGAGGAGGACAATGATGATGAGGGACGGGAGGGGGGAAGGCCATCTGACAAAATCACTGCCTCATATTTCACTATTAAGTACATGTGCGGGGAGGGGGAGGGGACAAGGCAAGGAGGCGGAGGACAAAGGTTTGCAACGACGCTCCAGGTCAAGCCCAGAAGTTTACTTGCTGACCCGTTGCCTCTCCGGAAACATACCTGTCCTCATCCTCCTCTTCCTCCCTCTGTTCGGTTATGTTCGCTCTGTTTCACTCTGTTGCCATGGTGTCTCATGACATTGGGCTGCGAGCTGGCTGCGGTTCGTCGCACAAGTTTCCGATGATCGAGGATCCAAGATTCTCGTCCTGGGCGGACATGTTGGGGCATTTTTAGAGAATCCCCACGCCTCCTGAGAAAGGCGCCCCCGTCGCCCAAGCCACCTTCTGCGCGCCGCCCAGGAGGAGGAGGAGGCGACCGAAGGCCCTCCCGCGAAGAGGGCAAAGGCGAAGGCCGAGGAGGAGGCCGATGCAGCTGTGCCAGCGCACTTTCCGCCCGGGTGCATTCCAGACCCGAAGGCAACGATCCCTTGGTTGCCACCAGGGTGGTCGGCGGCGAAGAAGTGGACCTCGAAGCAGGATGCAAGGTGCCCCGGTGGCAACCTGGCCCGCTGCTACGTCGGCCCCAAGGGCGACATCGCTTGGCACAGGGACAAGGTTCTAGACCTCCCAGATGGGGTCCGAGTGAATGGGGTCGGAGGATCGCGCCGCATCGCTGATGCATCGCCGATACATCGCGAATACATCGCCGACGCGGCGTCGATGCATCGGCGACATTTGCGATGCATCGGCGACGTCGGCATGCAGAAAGTCGCATCGCCGACGCATCGGCGATGCGGTGCGATCCTCCGACCCCATCTACGACAGGTTCGCGCCGCGTCGACGCGGCGGCGTTCCAGTTCGGGCTTTCAAGGCTGAACGCCGCCAGTGGTCTGGAATCGGCCAGTATGAACAGATCGGTGATATTGGCAGGCCACGATCGTTCAAGATTGAACGAAGTCAGGCGGCGACGGAGGCCAAAGCCGCCGTCGGGGCGACGTGGAACCGCCGTACTCGGCCCCCATCTGTCCTGAGATCCGACGCCTCAAAAAATTGAGACGCCGTGAAAAATCGAGCTTGGATCCCTAGACCCTACCTTTCTGCGCCATTCCTCGCGCCGGATCGATCTGTGCGGGCCCCGGGGCCCGAAATAATGCGAAAAAACGCCCGGCTCGAAAAAATGGAGTCGCCAGGATCTCAGGGTGGGAGGCCTCGAGGTCGAGAGGCTGGAAGGGCGAGCGCTGGGGCCGCACGAGGAGCGGACCCAGGCGCAGGCCGCGGCTGCCGCCTCGCCGCGCGGCGCCCAGGCCGGCGCGGCCCCAGCGAGCCCCGCCACCACAGCTAGCGCACCCGCAGCGCCGCCTGCCGGCGGCAGCCGCCTGCTGGCGCGCCGGGCGTCGGGGAAGAATCGGGGGAGGAGGAGGAGGAGGAGGAGGAGGAGGAGGAGGAGGAGGAGGAGGAGGAGGAGGAGGAGGGGAAAGGAGGAGGAGGAGGAGGAGGAGGAGAGGAGGAGGAGGAGGAGGGGAGGGAGGAGGAGGACGAGGACGAGGACACACTTGTGGAAACGTAAGACTCGAGTGCGCCAGAACTTGGATTGGCCGACGCTTGTTGGCAGGCCCGTCTTGGATTTTGACGGTCCAGGCTTCGTGGGATGTTGCAGCGGGAGTTCGCGTCAAATTTCAGATTGAGTGCCGTCATTTTCTTGACGGCCCCGTCGGGCCAACCCGAGTCCCCTGAGCCCGAGTCTTACGTATCCCCGACAAATCCAGTGCAGAGCGTTTCAGAGCTCTCTGAGAAGGCCGCGGCGCCCGAGACATCTGCCAGAGCCGCCGGATTTCAGAGATTATCGATCTATTATCACCCGAAGTTATCATCGTCCTGGCTCTGTCTTGAAAGAAACAGCAGCATCATATGAGCTTTTGGAGCTCCACGCGGAGCTCCAAAGTTTTATGTTTATGCAGTTGTTGCTCCTCCAGGGGAGGAAACGCGCCGCCAGGGTCTGTCCAAGTCCATGGCATGTCCATGTCTGGGACTCGAGGAGCGGTGGATATCGGCATCTGCGAGCTCACTCGGGCGGGCAGATATCCATATCCAACCTTCCTCGAGATCCCAGGGCACGACTCCGAAGCGGTGAATGTGGGCATATGCTGGCGTGCAGAGAAGCGGGATGGGGAGGGAGGGGGGGGGGGAGGTGTGCGTTTGCGGGCTCTCCTTCTTCTTCTTCTTCTTCTTCTTCACCTGCACTCGTCTCCCGTTTCTGTTGCCATACTACGGCTGCTGCATGCTTACTGAGGCCTTGTCGCTGAAGCTGGAATGATTTCTCTTGGACGGTGTGATCTGTTGATCGTAGCCCAAGCAGCGCAAGGAGGGGGAGGGACGGTGGGAAGACGAAATTTTGCAAGTCGTTCCTGACCGAGTGCGGCTGCACGTACAGTGCGACGCCACCTCGACGCACCATCCCCGCCGCCTACATGCCAATGTTGGTTCGAAGCGAGCACCCAAGTCCCGGTAGACTACAACATGCAAGTCAGCATTGAATTGTGGGGGGGGAGTTCTTCAGAGGCCGATGGCAGCTGATCCCCAGGTTGGCACGCTGTTTCTCCGAACGATCAACCAGCTTGCGATCTGCCGTCCGCTCACTGGAAGACCAGGGGAGGCCAGGCCCAGGACCGGAAAGCAGTGGTACCCGGGACGGGGGGCCTCAGGATCAGGGCTCACCATGGGGCGCCCCTCGGCGGGGCTCTGGCGCACGCCGTGGCCGCAGCCGTGGCCTCCTCCTTGTCCTCCTCATTGTCCTCCTTCCCCCTCCTCCTCCTCCTCCTCCTCCTACTCCTCCTCCTCCTCCTACTCCTCCTCCTCCTCCTCCTCCTCCTCCTCCTCCTCCTCCTCGTCCTGGGGGTGCGTTTGGGCCAGGAGGGCGGAGTGAGCAAGGGCGTGGCGTATGCGTCGGGCTGGCGCCGTGCCGCGGGTGCAGGCGCTGTGTTTTGGGCGCCACGGGCGCTGTGCCATGGAATAATCTACGGCATGGCACCGGGAGGCTGGTAGGATACCCAGTCAGGGGCAACGATAGGAGGGGGGAGACATAGGCATACGGGGGGATACATCGACCCCCAATCGCCCATTGATCGACGATAGGGTCCCGATGGCCCCAGCCTGCCCAGGAAGGTGCGGATTCACGATCGGAGGCCTGTCGGCGATATATCGGCGATGTATCGCCGATTCCAGGTCGATGCATCCCCCCCTATCGTTGCCCCCCTCACCTAGTCCCTGAGATCCTGGCGTTGCAATTTTTTCACAACGGGCGTTTTCGCTCGGTTTCGGGCCCCAGGGCCAGCACAGATCGATCCGGCTCGGAAAATGACGCAGAAAGATGGGGTCCGGGGGGTTGGGCGTAATTTTTTGCGATGTTGCAGTTCTTGTGCAACATCGGATCTCAGGGGTGTCAGCTGGTATGTATCAAAAGCGCTGGGGGCGAACTTGATGATCCTGAACGTTCGCTTTCCTGTATGATGTTCCAACCTATTCTAGCTTTGATCACCAGAAAATCTCGAGCACCCAATTTTTTACCGAAGCTCGAGGGTTTTCACTTTTCGGGCCCTGGGAGACACTCGTCCGACACTCTTTCGATATTGCTTCGACACTTTTGCAGGCGCTCGAAATTATTTCCGGGATGTGGTTTTTAAGTACGATGGGAGCAACATAAGCTTTCCCTTCCACTCGCGAAAAGGAGGCAAGCCGGCTCTTTCTCAGAACGGGGTTCTCGCCCGGATCGCAGGCACACGGGGCGCTCGTCGTTTACGAGGGCGCGTCCTACAGAGAGCAGGACGGGTTGCAGGAAGTCGCGAGGAGGGGAGTTGGAACGGGAGGGTGCGTTGCAGCATCGCATCGCTGATACATGCTGGGCTCACTCTGGCTCCTCCTCGTCCTCCCCCTCCCTGCCTGCCTCCCTCCCCCCTGCGAAATTCTGCTCTCCCTTCGAGCTCTGGCTTGTTCAGAGCGCCCATGCAGCGCACTGGTCCGTGGCCTACGGGCTTGATGCAGGATCACGCATCCAACGTATCCTCCTCCCTCCCTCCGTCCCTCCCTGTCTCCTCCCTCCACTGCCTCCTCCTATTCCATACTTCATGGTTCGTCCTCCTCCTGTTCCACCCCTGTTCCTTTTTCATAACTCCTCCCTGTCGCACCCCAGACGCGTCAGTAGGGCGGGCCGGGCGTTGCGCCTGAGACTTCCGCGCCATTTGTGATCGTGAAGCCTGAACTTGGCAACAGCTTCACGGATAGAGGGCGGGGCGTTTTCAAAATGTGGTACTCGCCATAGCGCCGCGCAATTTCGATCTAAAAGTTTACAACTGTTTCACGTAAGGAGGGCTGGTCGTTTTTTTTATGTGATTCTCGCGTAATGCCGCGCACATTAGATTCAAAAGCTTGCAGCAGTTTCACAGATGGACGGCGGATCGTGTTCAACATGTGGTTCTCGCAGTAGCGCCGCGCACAATCGTTCACGGATGGAGGGTGGGTCGTTTTCAAAATGTGGCTCTCGCCGTGGCGCCGCGCACAGTCGTTTTAAAAGTTTGCAGCAGCTTCACGGATGTAGGGTGGCCAATTTTCAGAATGTGGTTCTCGCATTAACGCCGCGCACATGTGGCTCAAAGGCTTACAGCAGTTTCAAGGGTTCGTATGATCGAAATCCCAGGAATTGTGATCTGGCACGGTGTAGGATTGTGGGGACGCAGCAGTCAGATTGATTCGCAGAGCTGAAATCCCAGAAACGAAGTTGTGGCACGATGTAGCATGTATAATCGCCGGGACGTAAAAAATGCGTTGATCCGCGACGTTGAAGACTCAGGAACTGTGTGCTGTCACGATTGAATCGTCTTAGACGGTTGTCTTCTAACGGGCCACTTCCCGCACTGAAGACATTTGAAGACAGCGGATTTCAGGGACCCGTGAAGAAGGAATTTTGAGGGATGGTTTGCTGCAACATCGTTGGTGCATCTTGAGTTTACACTGGTCTTCCTCCTCCTCCTCCTCCTCCTCTTCCCTCATCTTCCCTCCCCTCATTGCTCCGATGTCTTGATCCCTTCCTATCCCTCCTCATTCCTCCTCCTCCGCCCTCCTCCTCCTCCTCCTCCTCCTCCTCCTCCTCCTCCTCCTCCTCCTCCTCCTCCTCCTCCTCCTCGGCGTCAAGGCCGCGCCAGACGCCGACGCCGAGCGGCTGGCGGCGCTGAGGGCGCGGCTCCGGGAGCTCACGGCGGCCGCCGATGAGGTTTCCCCCCACCCCCTTCCCGCCCGTTTCTCCTCCGTTGGTTGTGGAAGGGAGGGAAGGATGGTGGAGGAGGGGGAGGAGGAGGGAAGAGGAAGAGGAAGAGGAAGAGGAAGAGGAGGAGGAAGATGAAGAGGAGGAGGAGGAGGAGGGGAGGAGGAGGGAGGAGGAGCAGGGGGAGAAGGGAGGAGAGAGGAGGGAGGAGGGAGGAGGGAGGATGAGGAGGAAGGGCGCGAGGGAGGCGGTGGTAGTGGTGGCTTTGGTATGCATCGGGCGGGGCCGCGGGCATAGCACTTTCAGCGGCACCTCCCGCTCCGGGATGGCTGGGGGGCAGCTCGCCACCTGTCGCGAGGGACTGGTACCGCAGCGCCACGGCGCCACTCTATCCGAGAGACTCCCCGGGGGAACCCCACTCCTTGGGGGGCCCTCCCCGCCCCACCGCGGCCACAGCAAGGCCCAGCAGCTCCAGCCCCCGTGTTCCCGAGGATCTGGAATCCCCAGAACGGGAGGGAGCTGCAGCTGGAGCCCCAACCCAGGGCGAGGGGAACCGAGGGATCCCTCCAGGGGGGGCCCCTGTGGCCTTCCGCGCCGGCCGGACACAAGTGACGCAGTGTGGGGATGGGCAGCGCGAGAGCTCCCGCTCACCTCCGCTGGGGCCTTGCCCGTCCTGGCACGTCCCTGGTGCCACCGCATGGCGTAGCTGCGTGGCGAAGAGAGAAGGCTGGAGGAGGCCCTCCCCGAGACGCAGCCCCCCCGCTCCCACCACAGCTCGGCTGCGGGACGCGGCCCTGCCTGCGGGAAGAGGCGGGGGGGGGAGAGGAGGAGGAGGAGGAGGAGGAGGAGGAGGAGGAGGAGGAGGAGGAGGAGGAGGAGGAGGAGAGGAGCAGGGAGGAGGAGCAGGAGGAGCAGGAGGAGCAGGAGAGCAGGAGGAGGAGGAGAGGAGGAGAGAGGAGAGGAGGCGGGCGGAGGCGGAGGCGGAGCGGAGGCGGAGGAGGCGGCGGAGAGAGGAGGAGGAGAGGAGGAGGATGGAGGAGAGGAGGAGGAGGAGGAGGAGGAGGAGAGGGAGGAGGAGGAGGAGGAGGAGGAGCGCGCGGCGGACGGTGCCCCAGGCACCCCGAGAAGTCCCCAGAACTCCATGCGGTAGTGTGTCCGCACCGAGGAAGGAGGAGGAGGAGGAAGAGGAGAGGAGGAGGAGGAGAGGAGGAGGGAGGAGGGGGAGGGAGGGAGGGGAGGGATGGAGGGAGGGAAGGAAGGATGGAGGGGGGGAGGGAGGGAGGGAGGGACGGAGGAAGGGAGGGAGGCAGGTTGGAGGAAGGGAATTGGTATCCATACATGCCTGGTCGTGGTGGACAGGACACCAAACCTAACACAAGTCTGACACCAGGGCCGCGAACGGGGAGGGAGGAGGGATGGAGGGTAGCAGGAGGGCGAGGAGAAGGATCCTCGCTTCGAGCCCTGGGAGCACAAGTTGATCTTCGATGGAAAACTGCCAAGGGTGAATCTCAGAAGGAGGTCGGGTTGAAGGGGGAGGAGAAGGAACATGCATGTTTGGTCTGAGATGGGTGTGCGGGAATGGAACCATCCTGAGGGCGTCGTGTTTTTGCACTCGTCGACTGAGTTTTTCACCGCTCTTAGTGTTTCAGGGCCCGCTTCGGGCCCCAAGCCCGTCAGAAGTCGGTCGGGGATGGAAAACCGTCCAGGGTGGACCCTTGGGAGAGATCCAGGAACCGATTTTGAGCGTACCCTCGTTGGAGGCTGGGGGAGGAGGTGGAGGAGGAGGAGGAGGAGGAGGAGGAGGAGGAGTAGGAGGAGGAGGAGGGAGGGAGGGAAGGAGGGAGGGGGGGAGGGAGGGAGGGAGGGAGGGAGGGACGGAGGAAGGGAGGGAGGCAGGTTGGAGGAAGGGAATTGGTATCCATACATGCCTGGTCGTGGTGGACAGGACACCAAACCTAACACAAGTCTGACACCAGGGCCGCGAACGGGGAGGGAGGAGGGATGGAGGGTAGCAGGAGTGCGAGGAGAAGGATCCTCGCTTCGAGCCCTGGGAGCACAAGTTGATCTTCGATGGAAAACCGCCAAGGGTGAATCTCAGGAGGAGGTCGGGTTGAAGGGGGAGGAGAAGGAACATGCATGTTTGGGTCTGAGATGGGTGTGCGGGAATGGAACCAACCTGAGGGCGTCGTGTTTTTGCACTCGTCGACTAAGTTGTTTACCGCTCTTAGTGTTTCAGGGCCCGCTTCGGGCCCCAAGCCCGTCAGAAGTCAGTCGGGGATGGAAAACCGTCCAGGGTGAACCCTTGGGAGAGGAAATGGCTTCTTCCATCTCCGGATTGCGCGCAGTTATATGTATCTGCAGGGCTGCGCCCTGCGCCACCGGCCCCCCAAGCTGTCTGAGAGCGCTTCGCCGCGACAAGCAGGTCATCCCTTCTGCAAAACACAACGTGCGTTGCAAGCAGTTCTTCTGACTGACTTGTGATATGTGTCTGCGTGTTCTCCCCCCCAGTGAGGGAAACTTGCCGTGGAGGAGGGGCAGCGGATGTTTCGGAGGTGGCGGAGGACAATCCTCTCCCTGGCGTCCCTCCCGTCGCCCTTGCCTCAGCGATGATGCGTTTAATCCATCAGTACTGAGACATCAGATGATGTGTGGTGCCTCAACCAGAGCTCAGTCCAGGAGGACATTCGGGCCTGTTGACGGCCCGCACTTGTCAATCCACCCTAATCCCCGATTGCTCGGGTGAGCTGAGCTGGCTTGATGCCAGCCTATCGGCGGCAATCGGATGGAATCGGATGGATGTTCAGACGGTGGCAAGGTGGATGATCGTGTTGTGTGCAATGCGTCATGGCGATTAGGAGAAACTACCGGGGACGATTTAGAGAAGCGACCTTCGCCGCTGGGGGAAAGCTTTCTGCTGGGAGAGGACACCCGAGTAATCTTTCTGACGACGACGCCGACGCCGACGCCGACGCCGACGACGACGACGACGACGACGACGACGACGACGACGACGACGACGACGACGACGACCACGAGCAGGCCTGGACCCCAACTTGTGAGTCATCGCCCTGAGCGCTGCGGCGTGACGGGTCTCAAATCGCCACCCTGGGCTGCGGCAGGCTCGCGCCGCGCGGACGCGGCGGCGACGCCGGCTCGGCCAGCCGAGGTTGAACGCCGCCAGCGGCCTGGCGTCGACAGATCCGCGATATTCGAGAGCCGCGATCGTTCAAGGCTGCGCGAGCCACGCGGGGACAGAGACCAATGCCGACGTCAGGGCGACGGGAACCCGCGGTGCTCGATTACTCACGCCCTGGGCGCCGTTCCCAGGCGGCTCTGCGAGCTGCGCGGGCCGAGGCGCCGCGTCCGCCCCGGAGCTCTCCCGACCGCGCAGCTTCCGCCCTGCCCCGTCTCCTGGAGCTTTCCCTCCCCGCACACGGGCAGCATGCTGCCGTGCACGCAGCAGGGCCGCCCGAGCGCAGGGGAAGGAACCAGGAAGCTGGATGTGCACGAGGAGGAGGAGGAGGAGGAGGAGGAGGAGGAGGATGAAGGAGGAGAGGGCGAGGAGGACGAGGAGGAACGAGGAGGAGGAGGAGGAGGAGGAGGAGGAGGGACGAGGAGGACGAGAGGACGGAGGAGGACGAGGAGGAGGAGGTAGGAGGAGGAGGAGGAGGAGGAGGGAGGAGGAAAGGAGAAGGACGAGGAGGACGAGGAGACGAGGATGACGAGGAGGAGGAGGAGGAGAGTGAGGAGGAGGAGGAGCAGGAGGAGGAGGAGGAGAAGGAGGAGAGGGGCGAGGAGGATGAGGAGGAGGAGGGGAAGAGGAGGAGGAGGAGGAGGAGGGAGGAGGAGGAGTAGGAGGAGGAGGAGGAGGGAGGAGGAGGGAGGAGGACGAGGAGGACGAGGAGGACGAGGGCACGGGAGGACGAGGAGGACGAGGAAGGACGAGGAGGAGGGGAGGAGGACGAGGAACGAGGAGGGGAGGAGGAGGAGGAGGAGGTGCGGAGGAGAGGAGGAGGAGGAGGAGGAGGATGAGGAGGAGGCAGAGGAGGAGGGAGGAGGAGGGGAGAGGTGAGGAGGAGGGGAGGAGGAGGAGGAGGGGGGAGGAGGAGGGAGGAGGAGGGGGAAGGAGGAGGAGGAGAGGGAGGAGGAGGAGAGGAGGCGGAGGAGGAGGAGGAGGGAGGAGGAGGAGGAGGAGGAGGAGGATGAAGGAGGATGAAAGGAGGAGGAGAGGAGGGAGGAGGAGAGGAGAGAGGAGGAGAGGAGGAGGAGGAGGGAGGGAGGAGGAGGAGGATGAGGAGAGGAGGAGGAGGAGGAGGAGGAGATGAGGAGGAGGAGGAGGAGGAGGGAGGAGGAGGAGGAGGAGGAGGAGGAGGGGGAGGAGGAGGAGGAGGAGGAAGGGAGGAAGGAGAGGACGACGAAGGACGAGGACGACGGATGAGGAGGAGGACGAGGAGGAGGAGGAGGGGGAGGAGGGAGGAGGAGGAGGAGGAGGAGGAAGGCGGCGCTGGAGGAGGAGGCACTCCAGCAAAGTCCTTGCCTTCGAGGATCGAAGGAGTTACCATCTCGTCCTCGGCGGAAGCTGGCGCCAGGAAGAAGAGGCCGCCTCCGCCGGTGGAAGGCTGGCGGAAGCTGGCGGAAGTACAAGCTGCCTTCCCAAGAGACGGTGACGTTTTTGGGATCAGGGTTTCTGGAATCGGCCACACGACTTGGGCGGCTTAGGCGAGAGCTGGATGCACTTCTGGCCGCACATCTTTCCAGAGATTGGCTCCCGCATGGCCGGGCACGCCGGCCCCCCGCACGCGTATTCACCGCGTGGCCTCCACATGCTCCGCGTTGGAATCCAGCCATGTGTCTTTCCAGCTCCCTGTCGTCGGTCATGGGGCACGAGGAGGGGCCGGAGAGGGCAAGAGCCCAGAGAGCCACGCCGCCGATCCACGGCGAGGCCAGCAGCGCCCGCAGCCTGCACCTGTGGGGGGGGGGGGGGGGCGGGCGTGCTGAGGGCCGTCTCGGCGTCTCGGAGGTGGGGAGGGCAGGTCCGCCGAGGGCACCTGCACACCACCACCTGGCCTGGCCAGGGCCCTCCTGGGCCCCAGGATGGTGTGCATGCCCTGCCCCGGCCAGGAGGGCGGGTGCTCCATGTCAGGGCCCAGGAGGAGGAGGAGGAGGAGGAGGAGGAGGAGGAGGACGAGGACGAGGAGGACGAGGAGGACGAGGAGGACGAGGAGGAGGAGGAGGAGGAAGGGAGGGAGGAGGAGGAGGAGGAGGAGGACTGGCCAGGCGCGGCGGTGGTGGTGCAGATGCCCCCAGCGCACGAGCCGTCGCAGCAGCAGCGTCGCCGTCGCGAGGAGCTCGGGAGGCCGCCGGCCCCGGCGGCACCTGCCCCGCCGCCGGCTCCCGCGCCTCCGCCGGCGCCGGCGCCGCGGAGCGAGGCGAGCTGCCCCGCCGCCCGTGCGCGGCCGGCCGCCCGTCCGCTGCTGTCTCCCCCGGGCCTCCCAGCATCGCCGGAGAGGCTTGCGGGAGGAGGAGGAGGAGGAGGAGGAAGAGGAGGAGGAGGAGGAGGAGGAGGAGGAGGAGGAGGAGGAGGAGGAGGAGGAGGAGGAAGAGGAGGAGGAGGAAGAGGAGGAGGAGGAGGAGGAGGAGGAGGAGGAGGGAGGAGGGAGGAGTGAGGAGTGAGGAGGGAGGAGGATAAGAAGAAGGACCAGTGTAAACCCAAGACGCACCAACTGGCACAATAAGTGAAACCGTCTTCCAAGTTCTGGGTCTCTACGAGCATCTATTTTCATTGCGGGCAGTGCCCCATTGAAATACAACCGCCTGAGAAATCCTCAATCGCATCGAAACACCACTCCTGGGACTTCAACACCACGAATCGACGTTATTGTTGCTTCCCGCCAGTCGTAAAGCGTGCCAAAGCACCACTCCTGGGACTCCATAGCGAATCAACGTGACTGCTGTGTCCTAAAGCCGCAACCAGACACCATTGTTGGGAGTTAACTTTACGAACCCGCGAAAATGTTGTAAACGTTTGACACAAATGCGCGCGGCGCTACGGCGAGAGCCACATTTTGAAAAGGACCCGCCCTCCATCCTTGAAGCAGCTGCAAACTATGAAGACGAATGTGCGCGGCACTAAGGCGAGAGTTACATGTTGAAAAGGACCCGCCCTCCATCGAAATTGTTGCAATGTGTGAGCTTCAGGAAGATACATGGTGAGAAAGTCTTAGGCGAAACGCTCAGCCCGCCCTACCGACCGACACGCTTGGGTGTGCGACAGGGAGGTGTTACGCGTGAGGAGAAAAGGGGTGGTGGACTAGGGGGGAGGGACAAGAGGGAAAGGAGGAGGTGGAGGAGAAAAAGAGGAGGAGGAGGAGGAGGAAGAAGAGGAGGAGGAGGAGGAGAAAAAGGACGACGATAACGACGACGATGACGAGGCCCAGGACGAGGGAGGATAAGGACGAGGCAGAAAATGGGAGGGGGAGGAAGATGCGAAGGAGGAGGAAGAAGAAGAGGAGGAAGAGGAGGAACAGG